AGTTTAACAGTGAAATGTACATAATGAGTCAAATTCCTGAAGTTAATTGAATTATACCAAGATAAAACTTGACTCAATAGACAAAAAAAGCAGTTGCAGTCAAAAGGCATTATTCCTGTTGCAGCAGCTGACTGGAAAGTCTAAAGACAAGTGCTCTGTAATGTCTTAAATGATTGAATTTTGAATTGCAGCAGAGAACCTGGCTATCTTTGACCATTATAAGGCAAGCAAGTTGTTCTTTTGAGGTGTTTTATCAAATTCTTTCCACAGTACAAATGTATATTAAAACTTCTACATCCTAAATGAAAGAGAACTGTAGCTTCCCAATTAAGGGGAATTGCTGAAGGAAGAAAAGTTGTTCTTCAGAGATTGTTTTACTTCCAGGTTTTCCTTCACTGCAATATCATGCAAAGTTTTGACTTTCCCAGTTCTTAAGGAACAATATTGCAAGAACAGAGGAGTGTTTTTTCTTTGCTATAAAAGATCTGCCACTGCCTTTTTTTTTTTTTTTTTGCCTATTTTAACAAGTTGTTTTGTCATGGTAGGGGAAAAGGTAGGAATTCGTAAATAATTCAGTTGTATGTGTTTATACAAAACCTTAAGAGAAATGAATCAGAATTTAGAACGTACCCAAACATTTCCATCACTCCTTCCACCTACACATTTCAGGGCAAAATAGATGTGCCGATCAAGTGCTGCAGGCACTTGATATAAAAGACACAAATCTGCCGGTTTCTATCAGTGAGAAGCGCTGGATTGGAAACATCTGCACTCAGCGCTTCCACGCGAGGGTTAGCCTGCAACCTGCCTTTCCTCACCACCTAAGGAAGTGAAAAGCTACTTGGAGCTTCATTATTCCCTCTTGTTGTTCCAGTTGCCGTCGTCTTCAGAGAATAACAGCGCAAGTGAGTGGGGGCCGAGCTCCCTGCAGAGCTGAGCGAGCTGGAGGGAATTAGTTGGGCCTGAACTTGGAAACAGGTTACTTTCCCTATGAAGCAAGAGAGGGGAAGCACAAGAGGGAATTGTAATTGCTGCTCAGCTCTGGAACAACGTGCTACCATTTCTAAGAAAAAAATGTAAATTTTACCATCTTGTCATTTTCTTCATTCATTCTCAGTATCCTGCGACACCTTAATTCAAACTACTGCAAAACTAAGAGTTGTTGCAAATGAAGGCCAAAGGTAGTAGATAGCCTGGAAAACAAAAAGGTTTCTTGGATGGGTGTTCAGTTCATGTTAGGTAATGTTTCCGGTTTGCACACCTGAAAGTCATTTCAGATTCAAATAGGAATGGAAAACGGAAAAAAAAAACCATTTTGAAGCAAAGCCCTATGTGGATGCTTTTGTACTGAAACAAGTGTATACACTTTGATATTGACTGCTCCTTCTCAGAAGTGCGTTATGTTTTCATGGAAAGAATGAGGGTGCCCAGACAAGGAACTAGATAAGAAACAGCTCTGTGGCGTATTTCATAGCTATTTAAATCCCGATGCAGATGGGCACATACAATTGTATTACCCTCAGTTCTGGAGGACTGTCGGCGCTGTCTTTTCCATTCCTGATTCAGGCAGCACCCAGTGCACAAAAGAGTTAATTGCCGGTGTCATCCCTGGGAAATTGTTTAGCGACATCATTGGGCGTCGTGCGACCGCAGGCCACTTCAGCTGCCACTCGATGCTTATGGTCCAGCACCCACTGCGTGCAGTGTGGGAGGAAGCTCTCTGCAAGCTCATCACACTTCCTCTAAATCTTGTAGCTTAATTAATCTCACCTAATCAAAATAATTGTTTTCTAATTTTCTTCCAGTTAGTGAATAATTATTCCGCATGTGAAGTTTGTCTCTATGCTAAAAGAACAGTTATTCAGTTAATATCTGTTCGTTTTAGATGCTTATATTCGTAAGTCCTTGAGATGAACAGATTGGTTTTTATGATTTTAAAGTCTTAGTTGTAATAAATGAACATAAGTATTGACATCATATAAATTCTGAAAGCAGGATAAAATCTATCCAGCAACTGCAACAACTATGGCTTACAGAGATGAGCCTGACATTTGCCAATAAATTACCAATTATTTTGTAGCCTGGCTTCCTAAACAAAAACAAGGCTTACCTGGGCACATGTAACCTTTGGGCAAATCAGTGAGTACTGAAACCATTAGAAACACAGGACTGAGTACTCTGTCACCCCCATTAGTTTGCAGCTCAAATCTGAAGGTTAGATCATCTCCTGGTGCTAATGGAGGCACACGCTAGCCTACGTGCACTATGGATCTTGCCCTTTGCTTAGGCGGTTAAAGTCCTGCATCCCCCAGAGATAGTAGCAAAGCTCCTAATCAGCAATTGATTTGTTATATCCATTCGCAAAACAAGTCATTCCACAAGATCCAGAGGTAATGAAAACTGCATTTTTGTGGGTTAGTGGATTGCAGTGATGATGAGGCCGGACCGAAGACAGTGCCAGGCAGGAGGTCTGTTTCCTTTGTGGGTTCTCTGATGTCAAACGAGGTAAAATTCGCATTGCAGCTTCTCCCTTTTGCCAAGGCTCTTGTATTGTCTTGCTCCTTTTGCCTGCCGGCACCTACAAAATTTGTAGGAACTTAATCAGCAGTGAGGTCTGGCTGAGGCGGGATCATGCAGAAATTGCCGGTGGAGAGATACATGCACAAGCACACAAGGACTATGAGTAAATAAGTGCCTTTTCCTTAGGGAACCAGTCTAAAATCTGAGTGACCAGATAGGAACCGTTCTCAAATAGCTTCTCCGTCTATTAAACGTACACTCATTTCAGCCTGCGAAAGGCAACACAGAGGCATAGAATCGCATCCAAATTCCAATCCCTTCTTAAAATGGTTTGTGGCTTTGTTTTTTCTGCTAAATATTTTGTGTAAATATTCATGCTCTATGCTTAGGCAAGTCCAGTTATGATACCTTGTTAGCTCAGGAAGGTCAGCAATGTCAAACATTTTAAAACAGTGATTCCTCAACTTTTTGAATTTTTGGATTCTCAGAAAATTCCAGGGGCAGTGCAGGCATCTGTGGAGCAAATTTATGTTTGCTGGCAGTATATTTCCTTCTCTTCGTTGCCTTTTCTAGCTTTTTAGAAGTAGTTCATGGTACTATAGGTGTTTGCAGCCCACAGGTAGAAATGGCTACTCTGAACTCACCCTTGTGTTCATTAGATTATGTTTGTGTTTATAGTCAGTCACATCTTAAAACTATTCTCAGCCAGAGTCTGAAAAAAAATTTTGGTAGAAACCTTTTTGTATCTTTTCATTTTCAAGCAAAATTGTCCTCGCTGGTTCTGAATCAGGTTAGTAGGTGTGCTTTTGCGGGAAGTGTTAACTGCAGCATCCCTGGAAATCAGATCAAAAGAGAGAAAGATAAGGGGAAAATATTTCCAGGATCAATCGCATTTTAGTAAGGATTATAGCAGAGTATAAAACTGGCTGGCATAGTGTGCGATGACAAGGTATTAGACTGTAATTTTAGTCTTCATTAATGGAAGTTTTACCACTGACTGCAGTGGAGCTAGGATTTCTGTCTTTCTGAATACTTGTTTTTGTATTTACTAAACAGTGTAATAGTCTCAGAAATCCAGCATTCTCCTGTCTCGTACTGCTGTTCTTCCTCTCTCTTTCTCCAAGTATTTTCTAAAATTCGATACAACGTCTCTTTTCAGTGAGCTAGCCTTTTTTTGCGTTTCTTAACTTTATAGAAAACTCCATGCATCCTGTCACTGTGCGTATACTAATTACACACTTCTTTTCCTTCTGAATAGACAGCAGATACATTGTTCTTTTCAAGTTGAGATGTAGAGTCAGGAGTGGGCCATCCAAGGTCATCCAAGGCACAGTAAGGAGCAGCAACAGCGCTCTGCCTTGGCGGGCAGCTAAGGGCTTTTCTTTCTCTCTTTGCCTTCTGTTAGAGCATCACCCTCTTTGGTGCAGAAGTGGTTAGCTCAGGGGACTGGTAAGGAGAGAAGGAGTCTTTCCAGAAACTGGAAAGGGGGGTGCTGGAAGGGGGCTCATGAGAACATCTTGTTAAAATTCCACTTTTATAAGCGAGAAATTTCTTTGCCTCAAACAGATCTGTCCCTTTCTAGGTATCATTTAATCATGACTGTGAAAGATGACTTGTCTCTGGGGCTCATAAAAATGTCGCGCCTTCTGACATACATTGCATTGTGCGAAAAGACAGGAGATGTGACATGTCAAACTTCCCAAGGAAAGGAATCCAGTGGAGTATTTCCCAAAGCATTCACCTTCCTGGTTCCCTAGGTGAAGTCTCTCCCGTCCATCATTTCTAATGCCACAAAGTGATCCCTGAAGTACCTCATCAAAACACTGGGTATTTTCATCCATAAAATGATTGTTGATTTGTGGCATTTTCTTCCTTGGTTAAGGCAGGGTGATGACAAAGAATTTTCTGTTATTAGAGGGAATAAATGAGGAAATCACTACTACCACAGTCCTGCTCTCACCAAATAAATGAATCCCTTGTGTACTGATTAACTGCTGATGGCATGCTGAGCATTAAACTAAATATAGAGAAGGTACAGGGTGAACTCCTGGTCCCACTGGAACCAATGTTAAAACTTCCACTGACTTCAGAGGGAAAAAACATTGAGATTTTGTTTGGATCTCTGCTCAGGGATTTTGTATCTTAGCGTCTAGCAGGCATGGCACTGAGAAATGCATGCTTGAAGTTAAGTTCCCAAGTGCACGTTTAGGCCCTGAAATAAATGGCCTAATTTTCAAAAGCATCAAGCGCTTACCAGCTCCTGCTGATGAGACCATTCCAATGAATAGTCACTGCAGCTCATTCTCACGCGCACAGACAAGTGACTGTTTAGCCCACATGAGCATTATTCACTTTTTTTGTGTCTGTCAAACACATTAAAAAAATCTTTGAGTAAAAAGAACAAAAAAACTCAGTTTACCAGAAATGAAGGTTGTAGGATTCACCTTTTCTTTTTGATATTTTCTTCCTCGTGTGTTCAGACATGAAGTAAAATGACGAGCAGCAACTCAGCTGCAGAATTACAAGCAGACGAGACTCGACAGTCTGTTCCCCACTGCACGGCCTAGATCTTCTACTGGGAACCCAACAAAAAACCTGACTCTGAAGCATGACTTGAACCTGCAGATGAGAAAAGGTATTCAGTGTTGTATCGATTCTTTTTCTTTCTGTGCGCTCTAAGGAAACATTCTGCTGATCAAAACTGGCATGTGTCTTTGTACGTGTAGTAAGAGGCTGAAATGATCTGAGCTGCTGCAATACTAAATATGAGTTTTCCATAGATACATACAAAAAGTAATTGGGAGAATGGGGGGATGTAGTACATATGTATAAGAAATAAGTAAATCAAGACAAAACAAGGATGAATGGAAGACTAGTTCCTTTTAAAAGAAGGGTCTGTTTATAATATAAAGATCGTAGGTCGATAAAGGAAACTTTCAGGTAAGCCTCTCATTTGATCCTTCATAGTTTTTACAAATAGACAAGCTCAGATCTGTCCCACGAAATTGAACTCAGATTAATTTGAGTCTCCTGTTCTTTGAAAAGCCACTGTCATCTAGAAGGCGCGTGCATGTGCGTATGTGTGTGGGGGGGTATATGTGTGTTTACTTAATGAGTCCTAAGCTGCTATTTAAAGCGTTGCAAAAGTGCCTTAGCTGAAGTCTGGTTTTAAGTCTACTTAAGTGAACTGGTGCAGTCTTCTGTAGACACAGTTAAAGCCATTTATAGCTGCCATATAAAGTTCCACCCTTTGAATTAAGCTAAGTCAACATAAGCCAGTTGTAAATCAATTTAACTATGTCCACATGTGGATTTGCTTCATGTTTAATGAAACTGATTTAAAGAAACAATCCTAGTGAAACCACTGCCACTTTCTTTTGCAGGCAAAGCCGATATTATGTTGATTTATTTGGAACTAGAACTCTCCTGGCATATGTATTGAATAGCCAGCATAATTCTACAGCTGCGCTGTTGAATATCAACCTGAATTCTTGGTCATGTTATGGATTTGGCTAATAAATTTTCTTGCATGAAATCGTGTTTCTGCCTTAGTGGGATTTAACCCAGGCATTTGTCTTCTCAAATAGTTTGGGGGTTTTTTGTGAGTAATCTGATTAATTTAATCCAAACAGGATTTCACCCTATGTTTTTGTCCTGCTAGAAGTAACATGGGCTCCTCACATCAGCTGTTATATTCTTAATGCAATAGTCTAGCTTTACAGTTGATTTATGGACATACAAACAAGGAATATTTTAAATTCAATCAGAACAAATGGCCATGAATTGTCTAGCCAGGATGTTCTGGTAGGGTTTCCATAGCATCTAGGAAATTTATGCTTCCATAAATTTATGGCTTCAACTGACAGCAGTCTTTAGGTTGGTCTTGATTAAATAACATTAGTCCTAAGATTGTAGCTCCAACTATTTTTACTTTTGGAAATTGTATAAAGATTAATTCATCTCCATGGCATATGTTTGTCCTTCAGTGAACTGAGTTTTGTTTGCCTGTCCAGAAGTCATAATACATTTTTTATGTATGCAGTTCATTTTGGCAAATACCTTTGAAAAACTGTAAGAAAGAAAAATCTCAGACCTGGGTATCCAATTCCTAATGTCTTCTTTGAAAGTCACAAATTTACATCTATGAGAGCTATAGATAAAAAAAAAACAACTTGCAGGCACCTCTTATTTTGTCTAGGTTGTTTGGTTTTTTTTTTTTCCTCCCGCTATGTCGTTTACTTCTCCCTACAGACTTTACCGGGCTAGTAGCTGGAGACAGTTGCATCTACAGTAACTCTGCTGCTGCTGTTAGGCTCATGGTTGTCACACCTGCTGCATACCAGCCACTCAGAAATTCAGTAGGAGCTTGGGGACACTAAACTGTAGAAAAATTAGTAGTGCTGTGGCCTTTCACACTCCGTTGAAGTGATTTATAAATCTAATAGCAGTCCATGTTGTATATAGTCACTAGTTATTTCTTTATTGTTGTGCAGGACGGTGGTAGAGTTCTTATTTCACAGTGCTCGATCTTAATGAATCTTATCTGTAGAACAGAGCATATTCTTTTCTGATTTTCCCAAAATAAGTTCATGAGCCTTCTTAGTAGCATACCTGGCATTTTTGTCTGTGATAGTTTTATCTTTGTGTTCTCTGGCTGTAGTTTCCAGTGAGAACTCTTAAGTGGAACTTCAGTAATAACACAGGTCTGGAAAGGAGAAAATCTGTGGCAGGTACAGGGCATGAGCCAGACCCTCAACTTATGCTGGAGATATACTGAGTGCGAGATAAGTCTGTCAGCTGGTGCCCTCTCAGGGCTGTCATTCCCGGTATAATGTGGGCATAACAGTCTCAGTGTAATGGTGACACAAGCATCCCAATGCTTTGAGATTTTAGGAGGAAAATTTGGAAAACTGTCCTGGGATTTGCCATGAGTACTTTCTGAAAACCTGCTTTGATAAAGATAACTTTAGTAAAAATATCCGAAAGAAAATACTGAAGGAATGTGACTAACAGAATAACCAAGGTATGGGGCTACTGACTCAATGTTTCATTACCAGCCATGGAAGTTCCCCATGAAGTTTGCTGTCTTGCATTACTTGAGCTAAGATAGCACCTGACAGCAGTAGCAGTAGCTGGTTAACCTCCACGTAGACCAGTCCCAGAGGACGCTTTGCCAGTGGATATCACAAGATTTTTGCTGGCATCAGTAAATTAAGGAGATTTAGACTGGCATAGGCTCTAGTGATAAACCTTCTTGTTCAGCTACCTCCTTATTTGACCTACTCCTGCCCCACCCTTTCTTACCTGCCTCTGGTCTAGTCTCCACTTTCCCCATCCCTTGTTCCTTGTCCTATGTCTAGATTTGAGATGTACCAGCCCGGTCTCTCAGATCAAAAAGTCCTGCTATCCTGCCTCCCTCTGCCATCCCCTGCAAGGTTTCTAGTGCCAGATTTTCCTCCTCCCACCTGGCAGGCCACAGTCACTGTCTCCTTGTTCCAGGCTACTGCCCTGCTCCTTGTTCCACTTCTTCCTTGAGTCTTATTCCTTCGGGACTCAAGCTTCTAACATTGTTTAACTCACAAACTGCAGGTCCATGAGTCAGTGGTGAGTGGTCTAGAAAATCATTTCATTTTCAGATAAAGTGTATTTTCAATTCAGATGGTGGCCCACAAGGAATTCAGAAGGTTGAGAGGTTTTGCTGGTCAGAAAGCTGAGGAACTGCTGTTCTAAAAGACATTTCCATGGTTAGTTTGACAATTCACTTTTTCTTGCTACATATGTGACTTTAAATATGTAGAAAGATTTTTTTCAATCTCAGATTTATAATCCTTTGGGTTGGCAAAATCTCCTATGAATTCCTTCACTGTGCACTTTGGCCTGACTTCATCTCTCATCCAAACCGTCAACTCTGTTTCTGTTCCACAGACTCATCTATTTTTACACCGAGGGCTTTGTGTGTTATCCTCGCTGCTGTGCGGGCCATCAGGCTCTCTCAGTCTTCCCCTTTTTCCCTCACACGGCTTCCAGACTCCTCTGTGTTTCCAAAAACTTCTGTCCCCTGTGACTTTGTTTTCAAGCTCTCAGCTTCTCTTCTTACTTTTCTTCTTCCTTACTCCGGAGCTGTTGTCTTTAGACTCAAGCCTCCTGGCACTAATCCCATTGCTTCCCTGCACATATATCTTCTCCCTGCCTTTTCTTTCCCTTTTTAAACTCTTCTTTCCCTTGCTCCTGTCAGATATGGCTCTGTCCTTGTGTGGGGCCAGGAGGCCTGCTCCTGCAGAAGCCGGCCTGTGCCTGCCTCTCTGCTTGCTCCGGCACCAGCCTTTGCCCTGTTGCGTGTTTTTGCTGCTGTTTGCTGCTCACCGTCACGTTTGGCAGAAGCACAGTACTTCCTGGCAACGGCAGGGCCAAAAGAGACACCCTTGGTTTTAAAATGACAAACAAGGTCGATCGCGCTGCCTTTGGAGAGCGTGTATTCTAACCTACTTGGGGGGACCTCTCTAATTAAATTTTTGCTATAAAACCAGAAAGCAAACGTAGCGCACAACGCCATGTATTTTTGTATGTGTTCCCAAATCCTGTAGGCTTCACAGGATCTCGGCGAGAGCTATGCAATTATGCAATTTTACAACTTGTCAAAGCTGCAGACAATATACAACCAGACAATACGGCATAGACATAACACATTAGAGTGAGCGTTAGAGTTATAAAATAAGAGGAGATGTGCATAATAGAGGAAGGAGTGAATCGAGGGCAGCAGTCTCACTGGCTCTTAAACAACTGGATCTGGCTGCATGCTCCAAGGGGGCTTGAATTTGTCTCCTTGCTCTCAAGAGTGACAAGCTCATCTGTCTTTGGCTGCTCCTTCAAAATGGCCAAATACCCTTGTGCTGTTCTGGGCACAGGCTTATTCCTCTGTTTTCCGTAAACTCATGCACTCAGCGCAGGCATGATCTTTGCAGCCATTAAAAACCAAAGGCATTGTGGTCTGATTTAATACATTTCAGCAAATAACTATAGTAAATGTGATTTTCAGCAGAAGTTTGGCTCCTGGAGGCCATTTTCATTCTTGGGCCTCTCTTTCTTCAGCTGCCTGACTGCTGCACAGTCCCAGGCAGCATTTACCCGTGTCCTATTTTTCTTCATTACAGCACTAGTGGACATTAGGGAAAAAGGCCCTTTGTCCAGTTTAAACTAGTGACTGATCAGGTTGATGTTTATATTTTTGGATGAAGCAGTCTACAAGCCATAAAAAGCCCTCTTATAATTGCAAGGTGCAGTCTGCCACTGGGACCCTTTTTAAGTCTGTGACCTGTTTTCATAATGAACTTGAGGCTAGCAGAGCTCTTCATTAGCAAAGTGCAGAGGATAGAGATGGTGGGGCGCTCTGGGAGCCGTGGCAGTCCGAGAGTCTCTGATCTAGTTTCTTAATTTTAATTATCGACGCACTAGTGAGGGCAACAATTCAGAACACTGTTTAGCCTGAGGAAAGGGAGAAGATCCTTGCCACTTTGCCTACAATAACTTGGATTTCTTTAAATGTGACATGGGGGCGCTAACCAGAATCACACGAGAGACTTGTGCAAATGCTATTAATTTCTGCTTAATAAGTTAGGAGGCTATATACAGAGGGGC